GACAGCGCCCATCACCCGAACTACCACCTGATGGTACACTGCACGCACGACCACCACGTCCACCGCCACCACCAGTGCCAGGCCACCCGGGCGGGAGACCACCAGCCCGCCACTGCTGCTGCTGCGGCTGTTGCTGCGGCGCCTGCTGCTGCTGCTGGTCTTGCTGCTCAGAGACACCAGCCCTAGTCCCCTCGTCCGTACTACCAGCGGGTGGCCTGGCTCCACCACCTCCTCCACCCCCTCCTCCACTACCGCCGCCGCGCCCATCCTTGGGGCGGCGACCCTTCCCCGGACGGAACTGCGCTACGGCGGCTGTCGCCTCAACAGGCGCTGTCTCAGCGACAGCAGAACCGTTTGAGAAAGTACACTGAGCGGGGGCACAACCCTGAAAGATAGTGACCAGCATAGTACCGCTAGACTGGGCAATAGAGTGCTGGCCGGTCTCTATGGCAGACAGGGTGTCGACAAAGTCAGTGAGGGTGAGGTCAGCGGGGTGGAGACTAAGGAAGTGATGGCGAGCAGCAGCAAGGCGGTCAGGAAGGCGGGTGGCAAGCAGGTAGAGGGTAGAGCAGATGGGTGGCTGAAAGACACGAATGCATAGTTTTCTGCTATAACGGAAGCTTCTGCGGAAGTGCCTGACGCAGATAGAGCTCTCTAGCTCTGTCGTTCTCTAAGGAGAAAGTTGCCTTCAGAATTGTGTGATTTACTGAGTAGCTTTTGAGAAAGCTTGGGCACACAAATTCACTAGAATCAAGATTACAATGGTATACAAGGCAAACACTAGTACTACCCCATTGAACCTCATTGAACACGGAGAGAACGTTCGCACGAGAACGTTTACATAACTATTCTAAGCTGCGCTTAGCCAAGTAAGCAATGGCAGGTGAAAATTACAGCATATGCTTTGTTGGTAATTTTTACCCTCTCATAAGTAGTTGTTTGAACAGTTTCAGATATGAAACTGTCAGATGTTACGCACATTTCCGCAGTTACGAAATGTGCGTCACGCGTTCAATTTCTCAATGTCGCAGGTAGATTTTGCCGTTTTCGGTTCAGATCGGCAGGAAGGCGAGGCCGGTTGGGCGACGGGGCCGACGCGGCGACGGGGTCGGCTAGGTGACGGGGCCAGCTACCTGGCGGAGTCGGCTCGGCGTGATCGGCTACGCAACGGGGTCGGCTTTGGGACGGGGCCGGCGACGAGATGGGGCCGGCTAGGGGAACGGGCCGACGGTGGGACGGGGCCGGCTACGGGGACGGGGCCGCGGGCCCGCGGGTCAACGGGGCCAAGGGGCCGCTAGGGGATGGGGCCGCGGGGCCGCTAGGGGACGGGGCCGCGGGGCCGCTTGTCGACGGGGCCGAGGGGCCACTAGGGGACGGGGCCGCGGGGCCGCTAGGGGACGGGGCCGTGGGGCCGCTGATCGACGGGGACGAGGGGCCGCTAGGGGACGGGGCTGCGGGGCCGCTGGTCGACGGGGCAGAGGGGCCGCTAGGGGACGGGGCCGTGGGGCCGCTGGTCGACGGGGCCGAGGGGCCGCTAGGGGACATGGCCGCCGGGCCGCTGGTCGACGGGGCCGAGGGGCCGCTAGGGGACGGGGCCGCGGGGCCGAGGGGCCACTAGGGGACGGGGCCGCGTGGCCGCTAGGAGACGGGGCCGCGGGGCCACTAGGGGACGGGGTAGGTGAGACGGCTAGGACCTACAGCGGAAGCGCTGGTGGGCGAAGGGGGCCTAACCTACTCATGATACCATATCAAACTGAAAGAATGACTAGAATGTGAGAATACAAGGCATTATAACCGAGGGGGCTGTACTCTCTAAGGCACAACCCTATATGGTCTACAACATCACACACAAATGTGTTTGACACATAGGCATTGTCGTGGGCCTGGCGGTGCTGCTGCTGGCAGGCGCCAAGGCAGTGCTCGTGTATGTCTGGATGGTCAGGCAGAAAAAGAACGCTCAGTCACAGCCTGAGGGGAAGGTGGGCCGCGCGCAGCTGCTCGCGGCAATGTCATCTTTGAAAGGGAGTTCCAGGGGTTCACGGTCCTCAACTAAGGAGGACGGATGATTAGAGTGTGGGGGTGGTCGTAGCTTAGGAGCGTAGCACGTTCCAAGGGGTCTTTCTGGTGGATCGAAAGGCTGAGTACTTGTGTTTGCATACAGGGCTGACGTTATCAGACTATTTAGTCTGATTAGTCTGAAATTTCAGACCCTAATGTTGGCCAAACCTGAATTATCAGATTACCCATTTTTCCAATCCTTATAACTTCAGAGTACGAATTTAGGGATCCTGAAATTTTCAGACTTGTTGCTAACCCAGTACTGAGTTTCCAGAGCACAGCGCGTACTGACCCTGAACCAGATGTACCTTCTACCTGCGACCCATAAATTTTCGGCGAAGTCCCCGAACGCTAGAGACATTCCCCACACACCCCACAACCCATCGAAAATTTCGGCCAAGTCCCCAATCGCTAGAGACATCCCCCTTACACCCCACAACCCATCGAAGATTTTGGCTAAGCCCCAAACGCTAGAGACATCCCCCACACACCCCACAACATATCGAAAATTTCGGCTAAGTGGGGTTATCAGACATAGTCGCCCTAACACCCCGACCCAAACAGCCCAAAAATTCGGCTAAGTTAGAAAAGGAATTATAACAGATATGAGGATGAGCTTGGCACAGGGAGAAGGCAAGCGAAATGGAGGGGAAAGGGGGAGATCGAAACGGATGGAAGGGGGGAAGCGAAACGGAGGGGGAGGGGGGATCGAAAATGGAGGGGGAGGGGGGATCAAAACTACCCGTAGGGAGAGGGGGCAAGCTGGGTGAATAGAGCGGTGGGAGAAACTCCGTGCCCTTGCAGCGCCCCGGTTGGGAGTTCTTGGACGTCAATCTTTAGCGATCATCGAACGGTCGAAACATGTCGAAACGATCGCAACCGATCGAGGCCGTCAAGGTTTGAAAGAGTTTTAGTTGACCAAATGGGCAACTGACAAGAATGCCCCTAAAAGGGACGACTATTATAAAATAGTTTTTTCGTCTCTCCCTGTCTAGGGGCCAAAACATTTTCATGCTCTAGCATCGTCGCCAATATCCTTAAAAGTTTCGTAAATTTCCTTCTCTTTTTTTTTTTACTCTTGTTGTACTTGCTGGACTTTGAGAAAATCAGACAAGCTTAGTTCTTGACTCTGTCATTTCAGAGTACCGAAATTTTGGCTGAAGGCCCTTCAGACTAAAAAAAAAAAATTCAGTGGGGTTGGCTCAGAGTGGTTTTTTTTTAAACGCCAGCCCTATTTGCATACCTTTTGATAGCCTGCAGCCTCCTAGAAAGTGCACATTCCAATAGTTTGATGTAGTCAACAATGTATATCTATCTATTCTATATCTCGGGCAAATTCTTACTGCAAGCGTGTACATTGGCTGAGTTCTACAGGCATTTGACGCTGACGTCGACGTCGACATTGAGGAAGCTCCTCAAGCGACTTCGAGAGCACTGGTTACCACCCAAACCAGGTGCACTTTCCCAACCTCGTTTGGAAGCCACGCGACCAAATTGTGGAAAGCGTAGGCGACAGGAGAGAGGAGCGAATTTCAAAATTGCGCAACAAAAATCTGCTGCCCTTGGGCAGTTGAGAAATATTCCGGGGCAAAATGACGAAAAAAAAGAACCTAGGGTTTGTTGAGATGCTGTCGATACGACTCTCTTTGATGATGGGTTTGTTCAGCTGCTGTTTTTATTGCTGGGCAGGCCCAAGTTCGCGAGATGGGGTAAAGTGGTGGTGGTTGTATTTTTGGAGTGTGAAGGCCTAGTACACCCTTGCGGTTGATGTAACGCCACACGCGATTGAGCGAACGTCAGTATTGCGTCAAGTTTGCGTCAGATTTGCCAGGGAGGGAGGCGAGGAGGGTGTTTCCCTGACGTAGATGTTATCTGTAGATGGACCTGTTCTGCAGGCATGTCGATGTAACTAGGTTCGGGTACCTTGTGGCGCTCTGCAGGCAAAAAAGGAAAGTGCATATTACATCAGAGCACCTTCCGAAAGCGAGAGATTTTGCTTCGGATCGAGGGCCAGCCCGCAAAATTTCGCCCAAACCTAGCACAAGGTACCCGAACCTAGTTACATCAACATGCCTGCAGAACAGGTCCCGTACACATGACATCTACGTCAGGGAAACACCCCCCCCCCCCGCCCCCCCCCCGTTTCCCTCCCTGGCAAATCTGACGCAAACTTGACGCAATGCTGACGTTCGATTAATCGCGGAGTTCACCTTGCGTGTGGCGTTACATCAGCTGCCAGGGTGTACTAGGCCTCCACACCCCAAAAAAACCAGTGCCACCACTTTACCCCACCTCTCAAACTTGGGCATGCCCTGCAAAACAACCGCTAAAAAAACCCATCGCCAAAGAGAGTCGTATTTCTCTGCTGCCCTGGGGCAGCAGGTTTTTGTTGCGCATCTTTTAAATTCACCGCTCTCTCCTTTCGCTTGCGCTTTCCACAATTTGGCCGCGTGGCTTCCAAGCGAGGCTTGGAAAGTGCACCTGGTTTGAGTGGTAACCAGTGCTCTCGAAGTTGCTTGCGGAGCTTCCTCAATGTAGACGTCGACGTCAACGTCAAATGCCTGTAGAACTCGGCCATTATCTAACTCCTCCACCGTTTCCTCCATCAGTTCTCGGCTCGAAACATCCTCTAATCTGACGGCATGCAAGCAAAGCACCAAGCCAGGCAAATTTCCCGACCAACCAGGTGTCATCTGCCCAACAATCTGCCCCGTGATGGACCTGGTCGCGTTTCTGGGAGGCATCAATCTGCGGTCGCCATTCACCCACCACTCGCGGACGGACACGGAATCACGAATCGGTTTGCTGCACTGCACCTTGTCCCGCCACAGTTCCGTCATTCTCCGTCTCCCCCACCGGCTGTCGTCATCTCCGTTACCGTCAGTCCCCGTTCAGTGGTCAGCATCATCTGCTCGCCTGCCCATTTTTGCTAGTCTCCGTCTCTAGAGATCTGTTCACCTCCTTGAATCCCTCCTGAACCCTTAGTCGGATAGTAGTGTACGTTGCGACTAAGTTTCGCGATCATGGCTTCCGAGACCGCCCTTCACAGAGCTATGCTGTGAGCTCTCGCAACGACTACTGCCAGACAACACGGCACTTGCCTATTGCACGGCACTTCAAAGCGCCGCTTTTTGGGCACAATTCGGTATTGCCCCCCTTCCTTCCTTTCCCCCCTCCCCCCCTTCCACCATGGCGTCACCCATTGTAGGGTCAGCCATAGTCTCGCCGTTGTTTCCTCAAGCCACGTCTCTTCATCAACCCCCAGCCGTCGCTCGTGATAGTTCCACTCGCCGCAGCGCGACCCCAACCGCCAGACACCGCTATGTTGGCTTCCCGCTCCGTCAGTTTCCGCAATTTGCCAGAGCCGCCAACGTCGGCAGCCGCGGAAGCAACGGGTTCCGCCTTTCCGCCTACGCGCAAGCCACTCCGGAAAGCGGAAGACCAGGGGAAAGACCTGCTGGGCAGGCGGGCGGAAGGCCGGGATCCACGAGCAGGGGGGACCCCAACGCGGAATTCGTAGACACGCGCATTCACTGGAGCTCGCCCGACGAGGGGTGGGTGGGCGGCAACAGCAGCGGGTTCAGCTCGGAAGAGGAAGGCGACGGGCGGTGGAGCGACGGGTCGAGCGACGCGGGGCTGCGCGCGGCGATGAGTCGCGACATGCAGCTGCTGATCATGTCCAACTCCAACAACCACTACACGTATGGCCCGCCGCGCGTCGCACCCACCACCACTAGCCCATGACTCGATCCATGAAGAGGCTTTAGTCACCGCGATCAGCGATCGTAGGACGTGGTTCTATTTAGGGTTAGGCGCTTTAACGTCCGTGGGTCGCGGGCTGGACACGTGGGTGATTTCTGTAAGGCCACGCTGTTGGCTGCCTGTCTCGCGCGATTTGTTGCAAATCGGACTACAATAAATTCGCTCTTCCATTCTTCCTCGTCTCTTAGCCCTCATCCCACCCCATTCCACCATCACCAATGGAACATCCCTGTATCACTTGTGACTCGTGAGCCAACATTCAGAGGCATGTTACCATCTATTATCACTCCCTTTCCTTCCCCCCCTTCCCCCCCACCATCCAGCATCCTGGGCGTGTCGCCCCTGGCGGACACGGACGACGTGAAGGCGGCGTACCGGCGGCTGTCCAAGCGCTACCACCCCGACACCACCCGCCTGCCGCTCGCGCTGGCAGAGCAGCAGTTTGTGCGCCTCAACCAGGCGTACGAGGTGCTCTCCAGCCTGGAGGAGCGCCGCCTCTATGACTGGAAGCTGTAAGGGGAACATGAGGGACTCGCCTTTCCTTGAGTTGGTGGGCTTGCTCTCTCTGTGTGTATGGTTGCAGCTGGCGTTTGCTTTAGTTTGTGTTGTGCCTGTTATGTCATGGTCAAGATGGGAGTTCTGCCCCTTCACACTTCTTTCCCACCTCCTAATCAAATGCCCTTCCTTCCTCCCCACATCACAGAGCCCAGGAGGCGTCTGATGCACGAGGGGGGCGGTTCGTGTGGCCATATGAGGTGGACCGGACACAGAGAGGAATGGGGTCCCGAGATCCACCTGCTCCCGTGGGCAGGAAAGGCCCCGGGGGTGATGAAAATGACGTTCCACTTTCAGATGGCTCCATAACCGCTCTTGCTTTTGATGCATTTGCCTTGCTAATTGCAGTCGCTTGTATTGTGTACGCAGCATACTTAAAGGGGAATTGAGGGGCCAGTGCTTGAAATTGTACTGTCTGAAGTGAAAAGTACGGTAAGAGAAAATGTTGTGTTGAGTGCAATTGGGCAATGCTTTAATAGTCCCTAATGAAGGTTTAGCAGGGTAGGTATGTTTCCTCCTGGAGGAGTGACAACCTCCTCCAATTTACTGCTGGAACTCACATTCAAGAGGCACAATTTCACTCAAATATTTACTGCTAAAACATGCGTAGCCTATTTTCAGTACTGCTAGTACTACTACCTAAGAGCTCTCCAACCAGTCACTTCCAATCCAAACCCATGTGTACACGTGTGTGCAGCTCGTTGGCGAGCATTGCACACAGTTCCAAAAACAGAACTATATACAGTCATTACCAACCACGCAGCGAACGAGCATCAGCTCCGCTCTGGGCTCGCGTGGCTCACCGTTTGCCAATCCAACCAGCTCCAATTATGCGCCGAGAGTGATGCCCCTTACGCGCCGCCTCTCAAAAATGCGGCCAGCGGTTTCCAGCTTGCCCTCCTCCCGTGCGATCTGCGGAAGCATGTCGCCGTGCAGCTCCTCCGCAGCGGCTGACTGTTGCATCGCCTCGGTCTGCCTGGGCCACGCGCAACGGGGGCCAAGGGGAGTTTCCGCTGGTGTTGGCGCAGCGATCGCAGGGGCAGCGTGGGGCCACGCGCACCTGGGGCCCTCGGTGACAGCAGGAGGCGGAGCAGGAGCAGTAGAGCTCGCACGAGGCCACGCGCACCTCGGCCCTTCCGCCGATTGAGGCGCAATTGCTTCCGCCTGAAACACCGTGCGCACCAGCAGCGCCTGGACGTCGGAAGACGTCAGCTGGCGTGGCCACGCGCACCTAGCGCCTTCAGCAGGGGCGGTCTCCGCGGAAACGACAGCGGTGGCTGTGCGAGGCCAGCTGCAGCGGGGGGATGGGGAAGCAGCTGCCGCCAATGGCTGAGAAGCCGCGCGCGGCCACATACAGCGAGGACCTTCCGCCATCGCTGAAGATTTATGCGGCCACGCGCAGTGCGCGCCGGTGGTGGCGGCGGACGGAGCGGGGGAGAGGCCCGGGAGTGCGGAGAGGGCTGTGGGTCGGGGCCAGGCGCAGCGGGGGCCGGTCGAGGCGGCGGGTGACGAGCGCGGCCAGGCGCAACGCGCAGCCATGGCAGGCGAGTCCGCGTGAGCGATGAAAGCTGTTTGCGCGGCGGAAGCCCTACGGGGCCAGTCACAGCGCGCGCCAGCAACAGCGGCAACCGTGCGCGGCCACCCGCACCGAGCGAACGCGCCGGGGGAAGCAGCCTCGGTTACTGTGAGCATGGCAAGAGCAACTGCCGCGGTCTCGACTGCTGCAGGTGCGGAACCCAAAACCGTTCCTTGTCGAGGCCAATTGCAACGAGGATAAACGGTCGTCGCGCTTCCTTCCTGGGCGGCTTCCAGCAGTTGTCGTCGCTCGTCCAGGGAGCACTGCGGGCGCACCATGGACTCGAGCTGCTGCATCTCCACTCGAATGGCCTCGCGGCGGAGTTCCCGCTCGAAGACCGACAGGTAGGCGGCCGGGGATCGCGGGGGCGCAACGCGCTTCTGTGAATACGACCACGCAAGGTCGAGCTCGTCGAGGGCGACCGGGAGGCCCTGCGCGCGAAGGATGATCCACTCGATGGCGGAGAGCGCGGCGGACGGCGGCTGGCGGAGATTCAACTCAGTGGCGTGGAGAGGGAGCGGGTCGACGCACGTGCCTTGATCGATGGAGCGGCTCTTTTGTGAATGATCGGACTCGGCGAGGCTCTTCTGCATGATCCGCTGGGAGCCAGCCGTTTGAGTGAACGGCCGTGCGGCGCGCAGGAACTGGGGACGACTGTCACGGCCGTGTTTCGAGAGAGGACGACCGCTCAGCTGCGGAGGCTCGAGGCTGGACTTGTTGCTCTCCGAAGGAAATGAAGACTCTCGTCTCGCCATGCCTGGGGACGGGGCATGGCTGATGACCGGCTGAACTGCAGCTAAGGACATGGAAGCCATGAGTATCTAAGGCTCTCTAATCAAGGATAGAAAACTGAAGGTTTGTCCTGGGTGGAAGACAGCAAAATCCTGTCAGGAAATCCGTGTCGATGCTCTGAATTGGAAGTGAATAAAAGCGTTGAGTGATGCAAGGCGAAATGAAGCCAGCAATTCGCGACACGATGACACTGTGGATCAACCACTCAACCAACAGCAATGTGCGCTGGTGACGCAACGTGAGCACAAGGAGCGTAGGCAAGCACTGGGAAATGTGGGAGCATTCGTGACGTTGGCAAGAAAAGGCTGAGAACAACGAAGCAAAGGAGGCGCAATGAGTGAATTCCTGCTGCCTTCCAATTTGCTCCCATTTATGACACGGCGAAGCCACATCAACCCCGAACCCATCACAGCGGTGCAGTGCGGAGCTCGGCGGCGGAAAGAGAAGATGCGATGCGACACGAGTTCGAAGCGCAGCAACCAGCACTGGGGCAGGCAGGGACAGGTTGTGCAGGAGCGTGGGTGAGGTGGTTGTGGGACCTGCTGACTTGCAAACGGATCAGCGAAACCCGGATGAGGTGGCACTGTTCTCGGATACACGTCATGCCACACCAGCCTACGACAGTTTGGTGATGCCGACGAATCTTTCTAATAGCGGCTCGCGTGTCAGTGATTCACGTCAGAAGGTTTCCACGATGCGATGAGGTCAGCAAGCAAGACAAGCCATTCCTTCTCCCTCAAGCGTCGCCGCAGCGACCTACATCTGGTGCTCAAAACGCAGCCTTACCTGGATACGGCTTTCTTTGACGTGGCCATGGCCCAAGCAGGAAATCCGGATTGGTGGGCTTGTTCCACACACCTAACCCAACCAACCACCTGAAAATGGGACCCAGAAACGTGGGCCAGAAACAGGGGCCTCATGATTCCTTCCTTGAATTTAGCGCTGTCCTGTACAAGACTTATGTGGGCCAGAAACGATGTCGGGCGGCGTTAGGTCAGAACAAAGTTCTAGGCAAATCAAAACGGCGCCGACAACCAGTTGGCACGCGGCACATGGAGGGAGGGTTTGTGGGATGCAAACAGTATTCGACAGGAACCGCCCAGGACTACCCCTTATAAGTCACCATGTTAACTACTTCAGGATTCCAGATCCATGTGGCAGATGTCAATAAACCACACGTTACGTATTCCTAACGTGGACCAACTACGCAACACCACCCCCCTCCTCGTCCCTTAACCTCTCCCCCATACTACTGAGCAGCTAATAATATAGAGGCATGTCGAAGGGCATTAATAGGTTGCAATGATTTTGTCGATGTATCTCCATTATGTGTTGTTATGTTGTAGGGGGGTGAAAACAAGAGTCTTAGATGTCAACGGATATATAATATATACTTGTGTAGGCTAGTTAGGTTTACTGCAACCACTGGTTCTTACAATAGAGGGGAAAGTGTTAGAAAGAGAGAATGACTAGAATAGGAAGATACAGGGCAATATAGACAAGTTTGATGTACCCTCTAAGGCACAGACTTGTATAGTCTACAGTAACAAGATAAGTTATGTTTAACACACCCCCTAGACTATATAGGGGCAGTGCCTAACAAGGGAAGAAGCAGCTCAGGGCGGTACTACTAGTACAGCCTCTAAGACAAGGGTCTAAAGACCTGTCAAAAGGAGTACTGTTACAGGATCGAATGTGTCGAGGAAAGGTTGCACTATCGATCAGTACAAGGCGCTTTTATACTTCTAGAGTACATCAGGTAACCATGTTTATCTTATCCTAAAGGAATAGACCCTTCTAGAAGATAGAATCACCCTGCGTATAGCCACGCGAGGCTATTGGCTTTAAGGGATTACGGCAGGATTACGCTAGATATAGCGCACCAGTACATCCCAAGCCTGGTCGGTCATATAATTATAATAGCAGGATAAACCAAAGGTTAATGGGAAAGGAAGAATAGGAAACCAAATGAGATGCGGTAAAAAGAGAAATGGAAAGGGTAGGAAATAAGAAAAGGCCAAGTGGTGTAACGGGGTCGTACTCTCACACTTCCCCCACTCAAAGCTGGGTGGTAGAAGTAACACCCTGCTTGACAAGGTAGTCATGCAGAGGACGACGGGCGTTACCCATGTCGGACTCAGGTACCCAGCTGTCCTCAGAAGGATCATAACCCTTCCAACGGATGAGAAGCTCCACGGTGCCATTCCGACGACGGCGGTGTGCGAGCACGGACTCGACCTCGTACTCGGGTTCATTCTGGACGAGGACGGGCGGTGGCGGCGGCGGTTGGCGTCCGGCGAAAATTGTGTTCGGGTCCCGATAGGGCTTCAGAAGTTGGACGTGGAAGGCGTTGTGAATCTTCCAGGTAGCTGGCAGGCGTAAGCGGAAGGTAACAGGAGTGACCTGTGCTTCAACGAGAAAAGGTCCGCAGAAGCGAGGTCGAAGTTTAGATGGGAGATGGCTGATGTCCAGGTTGCGGGTGTCAAGAAGCACCTGGTCTCCCACGGAAATGGTGTGGTCGTTGCGATGGCGATCGGCTTGGCGCTTCTGTTGCTGTTGAATGTCGAGTAGGCGCTTGTGGGTCCGATCCCAAAGCTGATGCATGGTTGTGATGAAATCATGTGCTGGTTGGACTGTAGCTGATGCTGTCGGTTTTTGTGGTGTGAATGGGTGGCGTCCGTAGCAGAGGAAGAACGGCGTCTGTCCAGTAGCGGCATGTGTGGCGTTGTTGTAAGCAAACTCCAAAACGGGCAGGTGCAAGTCCCATTTGGAGATGTCGTCCTTGCAGGCTGCTCGGAGGAGTTGCTCAACAATTTGGTTGAGGCGCTCGGTCTGTCCGTCTGTCTGCGGATGGTATGCGGATGACATGGCAAGTTTGGTGCCGAGCAGAGACATAAGTTCCTTCCAGAACTTGCTGGTGAACTTGGGGTCTCGGTCAGAAATGAGTGTGGTTGGGATGCCATGCTGTGAGATGATGTGACGAACGAAGAGCTGTGCTGTCTCCTCGGTGCGTGCCGTCGTGTGTGTCGGGATGAAGTGTCCCATTTTGGAGAACTTGTCAATGACGACAAGGATGGCGTCATGACCGCTGGAGGTAGGTGGTAACCCGGTGATGAAGTCCAGGCTAACCACTTGCCATGGTTGTTCCGGGACAGGAAGAGGCTGCAGTAGTCCCGCCTTTTTCTGCTTGCTGCTCTTCATCCGCTGACATGTACCACACGAGGTGACGAATTTCTGGACATCTTCTGCTAAGTGGGGCCAGTAGTAGTGCTTTGCGATACCCGTCAGCGTCTTGTTGCTACCGAAGTGTCCGGCGTAGAGGACGTCGTGGTATTCTTCGAGTAGTAACTGGCGCAAAGGAGGGTAATTGGGTACCCAGATTTTTGTTGATCCTTTCCGGTACGCGATGTCACTGTCCCACTGTAGCAGATGTCGCTTTTCTGCCAAGGGAATTTCGGGGTCGATGGCGTACCCGTGTGTGAAGAGTCCCTTGAGTAGTGGATTCATCCCTTCGACCTGAATCGCGGCAACGTGTGCAGGCCGGCTGAGAGCGTCTGCTTTGTTCTTGTGGCCGGGCTTGTACACGATGTCGTAGTGGAAGTGTGTCTCGAGGAAGTCAATCCACCGGACCTGCCGCCTGGAAAGGTTGGGTTGTGTCTTCAAGTATTTCAGGCTGCAGTGGTCGGTGTAGACGGTTGTTCTTCGTCCTTCGAGATAGCATCTCCACGCTTTGAAGGCGATGATGATAGCAAGAGCCTCTTTGTCGTGTATCGGGTAGTTGAGTTCTGCCCCGTGCAGTTTCTTGCTGAGGTAGGCAATTGGTTGCAGTCCATTCCCCTGGTCTTGCATCAAGACTGCACCCACGGCCTGATCACTGGCGTCTGCTTCAATGACGTAGTCACGTTCGGGATCTGGCAAGATGAGCACCGGTGCGGATGTTAGTGCTTGTTTCAGCTGCTCCACGGCTTCCTGGTGCTTCGTCTCCCACTTGTAGGGCGTGTTCTTCTTTAGCAGATTCGTGAGTGGTGCCGCGAGTTTCGCATACTGTGGCACGAACCTGTTGTAGTAATTAGCGAAGCCTAGGAACTGCTGCAACTCCTTCACGTTCTCGGGTGTCTTCCACGTACGTACGGCTTCGATTTTCTTGGGGTCGACGTGAACTCCTTGAGCGCTCACCATGTGTCCTAAAAATTGGACCTTCTCCAGGGCGAATTCGCTCTTGGATAGTTTGACGTAGAATCGTTCCCGTCGAAGAATTTCGAAGACGCGTCGCAGGTGTTCGACGTGCTGCTTCATGTCGCGCGAGTAGATGAGTATGTCGTCCAGGTACACCACCACACATTCGTCCAGAAGTGGTCGTAGAATGTGGTTCATTTCGGCTTGGAACGTTGCCGGCGCGTTGGTGAGTCCGAATGGCATGACCAAATACTCGTACGATCCGTACCGAGTTCGAAAAGCAGTTTTGTGGATAGAGTTGTCCGCCATCCGTATCTGCCAATATCCGGACCGCAGATCCAGTTTGGAAAATACCGTAGCTCCCCGAAGCTGGTCAAGCAGGTCATCGATTCGCGGTATCGGATATTTATTCTTGATGGTCTGCTTGTTAAGGGCTCGGTAGTCGATGCACATGCGCAGGCTTCCGTCCGGTTTCGGTGTAAAGAGTACTGGGGCACCGTACGGTGAAGTGGATGGCCGGATGAGTCCTTTGGCTAGGAGATACTCGATCTGTTTTTTCATGTCAGTCAGCTCCGTAGGGCTGAGCCGATATGGTGCTCGGAAGGTCGGCTTCGAACCCGGTTCCTCCACGATCTCGTGTTGATGCGTTCGGTATGGCGGTAGCTCGTTCGGAAGATCGTCAGGAAGAATGTCTTGGAACTCTTTCAGTAATTCCTTGATTTTTTCTGGAGTTTCCGAGGCTTTCTCTCCGTCATTCTCCACTTCTGTTGCTATCGCCAGGAACCCGGTGTCGGTCCGCTTCACGTCTTTCTCGAATTGTGCGAGTGTCTCCACTGGGATATCTCCAGTATCGTCCCAGTTGGGTAGCTGTACTCTCCGTCCATTGTTGTAGATGCTTGCGGTGCGGTTCACCCAGTTGATCTCGGGGTTGAATCTTTTCAGGAAGTCTCGCCCGAAGATCAAGTCAAGCCCTTTGATGTTGGTGATGGGGAGTGCAGGTCTCCAGCACAGTGGTCCAATTTGTAGATGTAGCACTGCTTCGCCGTGTACTGGTAACTTGCTGCCGTCCACCATCGTTGCAGAGAATCCTGAAGGCTTGTACTCTTCCCGAAGTCGGTCGATCATTGCCTTGTCGCAGACGGTGTGTGACG